AAATCCACTGCAAAAGAACTGCGTTGGGGAATTGTTACGAGAAGCGCACGTGGGTGGCCCCCACATCCCACTTCGTTCACATATACATGATTGACCAAATACAAAACTAATATCAACGTACTCTCTTATTCATATTGGAACATTCCTCAAAGAAGCATATATCGAATTATCGAAACATATATATATATATATATATATGCATGTGTGTACACACACAAACACACCATTCAAACACGTGCAAACAAATTCAAATTCCAAGCCTACTTAATTAATTTTATGTTATTTAAGATTATTAGTCAATTTAAGGTGGACAACAAAATCTCAACTTAGCAACAAAATCTCAACTTAGCAATCCAAAATTAGATTTTGCAAATAAACTCATCAAAATGGCCAAATCAAATCTTATGTCTTATAAAGCCAAACTATTATTTATTCTCCCCCATTTGAGATCCAATATTTTCAAAACAACTCATTTTAAAGTGATTACACATGATTGTTGTCTAATCTGAGGTTTTTTATATTACATGACTAATTACTAACTGAGAAATTAAATACAAAAGCATGGAGGTTGCAAATTCCCACGCTCACACTTTACACATCGTCATTCAACACTTAATGCGTAATATATAAATTCTAAGAGTTGGAAAAATTAGGTTCTAACTATGCGACAATATTATCTCGTCTCAACATATCTTATCAACATTCCTATAGGCAACAAGTTTGCACCTCTTGCACCCGTTATCATCTCAGCTAAAAGCTTATCACGTTGATCGAGATAAACATATGATATTTAAACTCTTAGTTCATGTGATTTGCATGTGAAATCAAAAAGAGTATAATTATCATTATCCACAGTTGAATCATTATCACAAGAATCAGCATATCGTATAGCCTAAATTTTGCAAATGAACTCATTTTTCATGTTAAAAATAACTCCCAGTAGAGTTTGGGCTCAAGACTCAAATTCAATGAAAAAATATATATTTTTTAGACTTTTTAGTTCAACTGGATAATTATCAAAACGTGACTCAAAACATCAAACTAAAGTTTGAATGTACTTAAAACATGATAACAAAGATGTTCACAATGTTTTATTATTATCTGAAGTCATAGGAAGAAGTTACAAGGTCAACCAACTCATAAAACTAAAATAAACACTGGTTAAAACAAAGCATTATAGACCGAATTTTTCGTCTAGAATAGCCATATTTTTGTCTAAATTGATCATCCTAGACGGAATTCCGTCTAGGATGTTGGTCTAGTAAGTTTCTGTCGAGAATGTGTCATTCTAGACAGAATTCCGTCTAGAAAACCTATCCTAGAGGGAAATACATCCTAGACGGAACAAAATATCATCTAGAATATTTCTAGACGGAAAATACAACCATCTAGGATAATCCTAGATGGAAATTTTGTCTAAGATGTATCCTAGACGAAGTTTCCGTCTAGGATACTTATCCTAGACGAAAATTCCGTCTAGGATACATTTTAGCATCCTAGACGGAAATTCCGTCTAGGATGGTATCCTAGATGGAATTTTCGTCTAGGATACATCTTAGCATCCTAGACGGAATTTACGTCTAGGATGTAGTAATTATTTAAAATATATATATAATAAATAATATTTACTCCTATACGACCACACTAATCCACTTGATTATCAATAGTATCTAATTACAAACATCAATACAATTCTCCTCAACAATAATACAAATTGTAAAACTTTACAAAAAATGAGTATATTATTGAATATCACAAAAATCGTAAGTACAAGTATTAGTGTAATTCTCCTAACAATTAGAAAAAGACAGCAAACAATTTAATGTTCGCCAACATCGAAATAAAAAAACAGTACAATAACAAAAATTACAAATCATTACAAAAAATGAGTACAATTGCACGACTCCTCTGCATCTCCTTCTCGAGAATCTCTACCACCAATTGGAACTCTCTACGAGTTTGTCATATTCTCATTCTTGATTATCCAAGATGAAGCCTACATTTCAAACTTGTTGATAGAAGAAATAGGCTTCCTCCATTAGATTTCTTAAGATCCTGGAGACAACATGAATATCAGAAATAAGAAAATTCCCTCTAAATGTCAAAATTAAAGAAAATCTCAAATCTATCAATTGAAGCATACTAATAAATAGTTAAATTTCAAGGTCAAGCAGCTAATAATCTACACCCCATGAAGCAATGGCTTCAGCGGCCTTAATGGGTTCATCTGGATCTGGTGGAGGAGTCCTTGATGTTTTAACATGACAAAACCTGAATGAAAAAACATCTAAATCCAGTAAACATGGAGAAGTAATTCCAAAATCTCTTTAACAGTAAGATACCAACATATCTTTAACTAAGAGCAATTCTGTCTCAGAAACAAGCACAGCATGCAAAGATTTAGCAAGGTAAAAAATTCACAGTTCGATAACATATAAAATGCAAATGATTTCAAATTTCAATCCCGCTATTCACATATAATTTAAATGGAGTCAAAGAAGGTTTAAATATATCTCTGGACTACTGCAATTACACCAGAACGAGGTGACCGGAGGAAGCTTGTGGCAAGTGAGCCCAACACGGTGAAACAGAGGGTGATGCACACAGGCCACGTTCTATCAACAAGGTTTCGATGTAGGAAGACCAAATAAAAATTTCCAACAAAATCCTGATTACTGGATAGGGATGACCACCAGAATCTCCATTCCTTCTCTGGTTTGCTCGTTTGCAAATTTAGATGATACGACATTCAAAACCAGTACTATCATTGTGATCTTTGATAAAATTCCAAGCAATGAAGCACAAATATTTCTATAAGAAAGATTGTGTTGTTCTGGACACTGTATCGTGAAGAGAATACAGGAAAAATGGCAGAAAACAGGTTTGGACTTCCAGCGGTCGACCGCGAGTGGCGCGACGATCGACCGCAAATGTGCACGCAAGCTGAAAAAGTCTCTAGACTTTTCGTAGTCGACTGCCAGTGGCACAGCGGTCGACCGGCCAAACCCTGTAGTGATATTGAGTTTCTATCGTTGGATCTGGTCGACCGCACGTGGCTCTGTGGTCGACTGCGAGTCGGGCTGGGTCTGAATTTGGTTTCCTGTTCGCGTTGGGTTTGTGTTTTGATATATATTGAAACACTCTTTTCTAGGGGTTAGGTGAGGAGAGTTCTAACAGAGATTTTAGATTATACTGAGCATATTGAGAGGGAGAACTTGTGAGCAAGTTGGGAAATTTGGTTTAGAGTTTATTTGACTGATTTTGTGAGATTGTAACCCTTTATACTCTCCTTGATTTAGTGGAAACTCCACATCCTCTTCCCGTGGACGTAAGCAAATTGCCGAACCACGTATATCTCTGTGTTTGGTTTGATTTATCGTATTTGGATTGAATTGTGCTCGTGTGTGGTTAGTTCTCTTCTCCCGTGTTCACAGATTCGTTTGGTGTGCGAGCACGCTTCCACATAGGCGCGCAACAATTGGTATCAGAGCTCAGATTTGAGATCTAGGGTTTTGGCATTAAAGTGGAGGAAGATTCGTCGTGGAAGCTTGGTTCTTGGAGTTCTAGGCTTCGGTGGAGATAGTGTTTGGAGTTGTTGTTGAAGATTTTGCTTTCCTCGTGTGGTTAGGAGATCTATTTAAAATCCATTCTAGGGTTCAGTTGGGTAACTTCCACTACAAGAAATTACATCTTTAACGAAGGGATTTCCCTTCGTTAAAGAGCTGAAATCCTTCGTTATTGTATGCTAACGATGGGGAAAAATCCCTTCATCACCCGTCGTTGAAGCCCTCTTCGCTAAAGGGTCACGATGTGATATACCACCCGTCGTTATAGAGTCTATAACGACGGAACATATTACCGTCGTTAATATTTACGACGGTAATTATCACCGTCGTTACTATCAGTGACGGGAATATTTTCCCGTCGTTACCATCAGTGACGGGATATTTTCCCGTCGTTACCATTTGTTACGGGGATATTTTCCCGTCGTTTAAGACTAATTAGTGACGGTTGGATACCGTCGTAAAAGTCTTCTTAATGGGTAATTAGTATCCCATTAACGATGGTGCTTTCCCTTCGTTGATGAACAAAATACGGTTTATAAAACCGTCATTGTAGACTACAAATTTCTAATATACATTAATAATAGTTTTTCCATTCATAGACAACTATCATATTATTCTCAACCTGACACTAAGATTCACAACACAAATATATTAAAAATACCCAATAATGAATAAAAGGGAAAATATAAATTCCATTCATTAATAACATCAATAAATAAAATTCCACCATCCTCAAATATTCAATACTAATAACAAGAGTTAATATCCTAATTGTTCCAAAGAAAAATACATGAAACTATCTATAACAAATTAAAATAAAAGTTTGGGGAAGACACATTCTTTCATCTCTAATCATCGTCAAAAGAAGACTCGAGCTACCCCACCTCTCCTAATCTTGCATGGATAGCCTGAAAATTTTAAAAACAACATATAATTAAGAAATATCAATTAAGAAAATATTATCTTATTAAGTAAAATTCATATTTTTTAGTGCAAGTAGTCAATCACAAAAGTATATAAGAGATTTTACAAAAAATAATTACCTAGTCATGCACATGTTCTCAAGTTTGATGAGTCAATGAAGGTGATTGCCTAAAAAAAAGTTCTTGCATAGCTTTCACTTGTGACTCCAACTCAGACATCCTTTGTTATTGTTGCTCCTGCTCATCTAAGCGTTGTTGAAGCATCTGGTTCTTTTTTTTCTTCTATAACCCATTCTTCCAGATCCGATCGACTAGGGAGCGGTCCTCTCAAATCTTTCAAAGTAGTCCCGCCACCAAATACAATGATATGACCATGAGATTGCTTCCCCCAGATTTTCTTAATTATCTCAATGTCTGAAAGTGAAGGGTTTTCTTGTTTGACTTGAACGATTTCATCCTATAAAAATTGAATTCATATGTTAGCACTATATAATGCATCATTATCAAATTTAAATATATATATATATATATATATATCCTACTTACATATTTATCTTGATCCCAACTTTTGTAAGTATCGATTTTATTGATAAAGATCGTGTGACGAATGGAAATTTATGGGACAAGAAATTTGGCACTACACCATATTGTAATCGATGCAAGAATGCACACTTCCATCCCAACTTTTTTGAACACATGATGCGTACACAATAATTCTTGCTGCATAATTGCTATTGATGAAGGTTTTTGAAGAATGACAATTGATGAAACACAAATACAGATTGTCTCATGTTAATACAGGTACAGATTCAGACTTCTTTCCATGCAATTCCTACTACATTTGTACTATTTTAGAATTTAATATGTTCTTTTTATGGCTTACCATATGTCCTGCCATGCCGTGTCCACGTCCAAGCTTCTTAAATCAGAATGATAAATTAAATTTATTGGCTTCGAGTTAAAAAAAAGGCTATGAGATTCTATAAATTTTGTTTCTCACGATAAAACTGCATTTGTCTAGGATATGAATTTGTATTAGCATTTACTCACAATGTTACAATAACATCCGACTAAAAAAATGTGGTGCATAAGACATAGGAGACCAGCCAATTGGAAAAGTAGACATCGATAGATGATGTATGTGAAATGTGCATATGACATTTATTTAGTTTTCTTTATCTTTTCCGAGGACATGAGCTAGCTATACCTGTATACCATATTCATAAATAGGGGAACATGATTCAACAGTTAGGAAACCATCCATTAATTTGCAAGCTGATTTATCTTTACGACTTAGCTTGGAAAAGGCAAAATCACATGCTTCCTCCCGCCCACATGCATGTGCATGGAAGGATCACATAATATTTGCTTTTGCTGACAAAATTCCTACAAATCCTGAACCATGTAGATGTCTGTGTTACAAAAATCAAGAAACAAAATCACCCTGTACAAGATCAGATCAAACTTGTCCAAGAAATGTGCTTTTAGCTGATGCATCCACTCTTTTAACAAGGAGACAACACAAATGGTAAATGATAAATTAGACGTTATCGCAACTTGAGAACTTAATTGAGCATTACCATTATTGATAAGGCAACGAGGTCTTTCTAGAAATGTGTTTCAAATGGAGATGTGATAAAGGCATATCATAAATATCAAAATAATACACAAGGCATAGCTTAAATATTAAATTGAGTATTGCCTACCAACTTGAGAACTTAATTAAATGTGCAAACATAAAAATAATTAGAGTACTTAAGGATGGAAAACATTTGATGGAAAATAGGAGTTAGTGTAAAATCTATCCTAATGACTGTTTAGTAATGCTCCAGACTTTACCACAAGCTATCCTTGAATAAGTAAAAAAAACTTCTGATCTGTTTTTAAGACAAACGCATACCTAGGAATTTTTCTTATAGTAACATTCCTAATGGAAACCTCGTCTTCATGGTGGCAAGTAATCAGATTCTTAACCTGGAAGGAAGACAAAATTACATTATCAATCACAGGAAATATGATTTGCCTCAAAAACAAAAAGTAAAAAAAGACATGCGCGCACACACACAGAGAAATCTTGATCATTTAAATGTATAGGTTGAAATCATCTTGCATCTGCTTCTATTGAATCTTTCTCATTGAAGTTTTGTCATCTTACCCATAATTCTTATTTTACCAATAGCGGAATAATACTTTCTAACTCCTAATAAAGATTTCTAGCCATAAAAGGTCAAAAAGAAATAGTGTGTTCAATGAAAGGGAAGGAAACAATATAATGATGTTTTATATAAAGGAAACAAAGGAAAATGCAGGTGGAGCAAGCACATACACATAACAAAAGGCATCAGTGAGTTAAACCAAGCTGAATAGCTTTAGCCAAATTTACAAAGGAAAAAATGTGTATCAAGGAACCTTATTGGTGTAAAAACACTCCTCCAAGCTTTAGCCAAATTTACAAAGGAAAAAATGTGTATCAAGGAACCTTATTGGTGTAAAAACACTCCTCCAAATAAGGTGACGGCACTTGAACCAAAAACAGTGTATCAAGGAACCTTATTGGTGTAAAAACACTCCTCCAAATAAGGTGACGGCACTTGAACCAAAAACAACATTATGGAATGCAATGCACCAATCAATTCCTAAAATACCTATAATTTTCTTGCTGATTACAGAAGGGAATTAAACTCGCCATACACACAACAGTCATCATAACAGTGCTTGAAGAAGGTAGTCCGTGTTGACAAATAATTATGAATGATGAAGCATATATAAACCTAACTCTATAAGTCTGTGATGAACCATGGTAGCAGCTAGCCTCTGATGAAAAATCGTAGCAGCAGCAGCAGTAAGGTAGACCGCACAAGAAAATGGAAAAAAATTTCTAGAGAGTGAAACAAACAGCTATATACATTCTCCATTCCTTCATTTAGCATTAAAAATAAATATTTTATATATAAAAAGACCAAGCTAATTATTCTGCTAGGGCTCAAAGAGCAGTTATCCCCATATGTATAAGTTTTCTCAATATTCTGCAATGATCTTAATTTGGGACATACAAGACAGATATTTAACAAAATAGTACATCCAATTATATTAGATGAATGCTCATTACATCTAATGTAAACAAACTTACAGGTAGTTTGAAGCTCACCAAAATAAGGCCAATAATATTATGTGGAGTTCCGGAATATATAGGAACACGACTATGCCCTTTGCTCATTATTAGACCCATAGTGTGCCTAGTAAGAAAGAAAAGTTAGTGCAGTGAAAGTGTAGATAGAAACCATTAGTATGATGATCAAATCACATACATGTCAAGCTTAGAGTTTATATCAAGGGAAAAAATTTCGGAGATTGTCGTCATAACATCTTTAGCAGTTTTTTGGGTCAATTCCAGGGCTCCAGAAATAATTGTGGTCTCATAATGAGTTAGCTCCCCACCCTAACCTGCCTAAAAATCAATTGAGCGTGTAAGAGTTAGGATAAATATGTAGTTTTAAATAAAATATCAAGCATAATTTGCAGATATGCATTCAATCTGATACACCTGTCTTGCATAAAGTCAGAGAAGTAGAAGAACTAAGATTGCTTAAGCTTACATAAACTTACATTAATCTGGGAGATTACAGGAAAAATAATAAAAATGCATAAAATCGTTAGAATTTCAAAAGTTTGGATTCAAGTTATGTTTCCAACAAAGCTTCAAGTAATTATTCTACATAACAGACTTTTTCAAGCCATTAGAAAACCCCCAATTCAAGAGCTAAAATCATACAAAATATCAAGAATTGAGAAACAAGTTGATTTTATTTTTCAACCAAAATGTAACTGCTATATCTTAATTAAGAAGACAATTAATTAAGCAAAAAACTTACACTGACTTGCTCATGTAGTAACTTAATGTATTCAATTGCCTATGAAGAATTGATGCTGTATCAGTCTGCATATAATAACAAAGTTAATTAACCAAGGAATTTAATGAAACTAAAAGATGAAAGAAGAAGGAAAATGTATATCATCTATCCAAAAGGCGAAACCAGTTGCTGGAGTGCGGTGATTATGTCCCCTAATTTCTCTTTTCTAACCTACAACCATAAAAACCCTAAAAGCTATCACCACCAATTTTAAAGAAAAGGAAAAAAATGATCAAAGTTGCAATCAATTGAAATCTACACGGAATCCATCCTTACTTTAAAGGTTGGCAAAGGCGATGGTGCTTGTACTCGAGTTAAGTTAAGAAAAATAACAGAGTGAATCGAGAATTTAGATGAGGCATTTAAACGAACAGGTAGAGTGCAGCGCAAACACACATACCTTTACCTGAAAATGATGGAGACACGAGCAGTTTTGAAGACAGGTAGAGTGCAGCGCAAACACACATACCTTTACCTGAAAATGATGGAGACACGAGCAGTTTTGAAGATAGAAGAGGAGAATAAGAGATGTCATCCGCTGAAAATCCCGCCATGCGATCATCTTTCTTTTACCTCTGGATTTGGATTCAGGGCGTCCTTGCTCTTTCACCGACCATCTCTTCCTTGTGGTAAGCCCGTTTTTAATTGTGGCGGTGCTCGACGATGAAGAGGTCTCGACGGCGAAGAGATCTCGACCACGAACTGAAGATGATGATGAACTGGACTTCGAACTGGAGCCGACAACGAGCTCGAGACGACGACGAGTCTCGACGTCGAACTGGATTGGCTGACGACGAGCTAGAGATGATGACGAGCAGGAGGCGACGATGAGCTAGAGATGATGACGAGTGGGAGCCGACGACGAGAGGGAGACACATGACAAGATGGAGACGGGCGATGGTGGTTTTTTAAACTAGGGTTTAATTAATATTGCGGCGGTTATAGGGATGATTAGGAGTAGTTATGAGGGATTTTGGATTTCAGGTTTCGGATTCTACTTGGGGCTTTGGGGATTTTGGTTGTGGGTTTTGTTAATTAATAGTAATAGGTTAATCTATCAGTCCTATTATGATTAGGAGTATCATTAATGACGGTAATGGACCCCTTCGTCTTTAAGGAGACCTAATAACGACGGTATTAGGATTAAATCAATGAAGGGATTAGAAAACCGTTATCCCATCTCACATCATTCCTCTAATTTTTGTAATCACTTGACGAAGGCTTTAAAACCCGTCGTTATTATATGCACATTAATGACGGTTAACTGGTCCCTTCACTAATTTTGGTCGTTAAATACCAGATTTCTTGTAGTGTTCTAAATTCTATAAAGATTGAATCTTTCTTTATAATTTGGAGTTTGTGATTATGGGTGAAGAAGTTGGTGAAAGCAGTAAGATGCCAGGTACATTTCAAGTTGGTTTTCAGAACACTAAAATTAGTATGGTGAAGTATGACGGCAGGATCAATTTTAGTTTGTGGATGAGCGATGTTCAGGATGCGTTCAATGCTCAGAATTTGGAGGAGACCATCATGGTCCATGAGAGACCACCAAAATATGAAGAGGCGATATGAGAAAAGATGAATAAGAACGCTTGTGAGGTGATCAGGTCTTGTTTGGAACAGGAACTAAAATATGATGTGACTGGGGTGACGTCTGCAATAAAGATGTGGGAAATTCTCAATAATAAGTATCTTACGAAGAGTGGTAAGAACAGATTGTACTTGCTGCGCAGGTTATTCAGATTTCAGATGTCCCGAGGCACCTCACTAGAAGTTCATGTGAATAACTACACTAAGTTGTTATCGCACTTGGCCAATGTTGATGAGAATATATCGGATGAGTATAAGGTTATTATTCTTTTGGGCTCCTTACTGGATGAGGAGTATGATACATTTGTACTTATTTTGTTGAACGGGAGATCTTCTATCACTTATAGTGAAGTAACTAACGCTTTGACGAATTATGATTTGAAAAGGAAGGACAATGAGACTTTCCGCGCTAGTACTTCAGGAGAGGCCTTGTCGACGAGAGGTAGAAGCCTATATCCAAGAGGTGGCAATAGAGGCAAGTCAAAGTCGATAGGCCATCACCAGCTAGGAAAGAACCAATGTGCATTCTGCAAAGAGCATGGACATTAGAAGAGAGATTGTCCAAAGATCAAGGAGAAGAGAATAGCAAGAAAAAGGGCCTGAAGGCCAATGAGGTGAATGTTACGAAAGGCGATGATTCCGATGATTCGAGCTTTTCTTTATTGATTACTCCAGAGGTGAACTACTTAAATGCATCAGATTGTATGCTAGATTCTAACGCTATTTATCATGTGACTCCTAGACGAGATTGATTTTCATCATTTGAGAGACTCGATTGGGGTGTTTTTGTCATGGAAAATGATCAATCCTGTAGCATTTATGGGATAGGTACGTGAGGATTCTGATGCACGATGGAGTAGTCCGTGAATTGAAGGATGTGAGATTTGTTCCTCAGTTGAAGAAGGATATCATCTCAGTTGGAGCTTTAGAGGCAAAGGAATTCAGGGTGACCTTTGAGAATGCTATAGCAAAGGTTATTAAGAAATCTTTGGTGGTGATGAAGGGAGTCCGCAATCGAAACTTATATTATCTAAAGGGGAGCATCGAGATTGGTTAGGATGCTTCAGTTATTTCAGAGATGGATATTAGCATATTTTGGCACTACAGGTTGGGGCACACAGGAGAGAAGCCACTGCAAGTTTTGTGCAAGCAGAGGCTCTTGAAGGGAGCCAAGAGTGGAAAAGTTGAGTTCTGTGAGCACTGTGTTCTTGGAAAGAAGACGAAGGTAAAGTTCAGGACTGCCATTTATAGGACGATGGACATCCTAGATTATGTGCATACAGATGTTGGGGTCCCACCAAGACTGCATCACTTGGTGGTCGATATTAATTCGTCACGTTTGTTAATGACTATTCTAGGCGTTGTTGGGTGTACACCATGACGAAGAAGAGTGAAGTCCTAGATATATTTGCAGAGTGAAAGAAGAGGTTGGAACAGCAGAATTGGAAAAAGATCAAGACGTTGCGATCTGACAACGACAGTGAGTACACATCAGACCCTTTTCTGTAGCTATGTCGAGACGAGGGCATAGAGAGACACTTCATAGTTAGTCATACACCACAGCAGAATGGGATGACAGAGAGGTTAAATCGGTTATTGCTGGAGAAGATCCGATATTTGTTAGCGCATAGTAGTTTGAAGAAGATCTTTTGGGCTAAGGCACTTTCATATGCGAGCCACCTCATTAACAGGCTGTCTTCATCTGTGATTGAGGGGAAGACCCCTATAGAGATGTGGTTGGGAGAGCCAGCACACGACTATGACCAGCTCAAGGTATTTGGGTGCCCTGCATACTATCATGTGAAGACTGATAAGTTATAACCTCGAGCTAGGAAGATCATATTTGTAGGATTCAAGCGTGGTGTCAAGGGATACAAGCTATGAGATCCAATTGATAGGAAGATTATGCTGAGTAGGTACATCACGTTTGATGAGACTTCTATCTTGAAGCTTCTCAGGTCTCATCAGGTGGAGAGCGACCCAACGGAGGAGATATCACAGGTGGTGAAGATCGCTGCAGCTCCACATTGTCCAGATGGTACAGTATCCATTAGAGTGCTAACTGAGGTGACGCCAGGAGAGCATGGCAATGACGGGGAGGATACGGGTACAATTGTGCAGGATTAGAGACCGACGGTTTAGGTTCAGGATTCTATTATGGTTCAGAGACTGAGAAGAGACATATGGATACCAGCACAGTATATCGATACAGTAGTTGCATATGCACTTCCGATGGAGAGTATCGATGAGTTGATACCTACTACATTCAGAGAAGCCGAGCAGAATTCGGAGGTTGATTCATGACAAGTGGCTATGCAGGAGGAGATGGAGTCTCTTCATAAGAATGATATGTGTGAGCTTGTTGAGCTTCCAAAGGGGCGAAAGGCGATTGGTTACAAGTGGGTATACATGAAGAAGGAGGGCATTGAGGGCACTCCAGTGAGGTTTAAGGCTAGATTGATTGTGAAGGGCTATGCACAGGAGGAAGGTATTGATTATAACGAGGTTTTCTCTCCAGTGGTGAAGCACTCTTCGATTCAGATTTTTCTAGCTTTGGTGGCATAGTATGGATTAGAGTTAGATCAATTGGATGTGAAGACGACATTTCTTCATGGTGATCTTGATGAAGAAATATATATGACTCAACAATTGGGATTCCGAGCTGTAGGGAAGGAAAATCTGGTTTGCTGGTTGAAGAAATCGTTATACGGTTTGAAGCAGTCTCCTCCTCAACAGTAGTATAGGCCATTTGATGGTTTTATGATTGTTCATTCGTACACTCGGAGCCCGTTTGATCCTTGAGTGTATTTTCACAAGTTAAAAGGAGGTGCGTATATCTATTTGTTGCTCTATGTTGATGACATGTTGGTTGCCTCTATTTCCAGATCTTCTATAGATGAGTTGAAGGCACAACTTCCAAAATAGTCTGATATGAAAGATTTGGGTGAGGCTAAGCGTATTTAAGGGATAGAGATCGGCAAAGACAAAGAGCATGGTAGAATTTGTTTGACACAGGTGGCTTATTTGAAGAAGGTTCTACAGTAATTTCATGTCAGCATGGATACGAAGCCAGTTAGTGTACCTTTGGGAGCCCATTTGAAGCTTTCAGCTAATCTTTCACCGAAGACAGTTAAAGATCGAGAGTTGATGTCGAAGACTTCATATGCGAGCACGGTTGGGAGCTTGATGTACGTGATGTTACGTACGAGGCCAGATTTGTCATAGGTGGTGAGCATGGTTTTGAGATACATGCACGATCCAAGAGTGGGTCATTGGGATGTCGTGAGATGGATTTTGAGGTATATTCGAGGTACGCTCAATTTTTATTTGATTTATGAGCGGGACACTACAGGTGGGCAGTTGTACATTGACTATGTTGATTTGGATTATGTTGGGGATTTGGATAAGTTCCGGTCTACGATGGGGTATGTGTTCACTTTGACCCGTGCGCCAGTGTGTTGGAGGTAAACCTTACAGTCTACGGTGGCTTTGTCGACGACGGAGGCAGAGTATATGGTGATTACGGAGGCTGTGAATGAGGCTATTTGACTTCGAGGACTTTTGGAGGAACTTGGTATATCACAGCGATTCGTTACTATTCATTGTGATAGTATGTGTGCTATCTATTTGGCGAAGAATCAGGTTTTTCATGCAAGGACGAAGCACATTGACGTTCGTTATCACTTCGTTCGGGATTTTTTTGAAGATGGCGATGTGGAGATTGTGAAGGTCCACACGAAGGATAATCCGGCTCACTAAGGTGGTTCCGAGCAACAAGTTTGATCATTGTCGAAACTTGTCGCACATTCGTGATTATTGAGGCCGTTGACGGCTATTTGGATGAACTACGGACGGCTTGATCCCTTGGGAGAGGGGGTACGTAGGCAACCATCGATTGTGTAGCCGATTTTTGGAGAGACGACGCATTGGGGCTCTTTGTTTGGTGTCAGCTCAGTTTTTAAAAAACTTCACCGAGATGGAGAATTGAAGAGAATACAGAAAAAATGGCAGAAAACAGGTTTAGACTTCCAGCGGTCGACCGCGAGTGGCGCGACGGTCGGCCACAAACGTGCACGCGAGCTGGAAAAGTCTCTGGACTTTCTGCAGTCTGTAGGCGTCTAAAAATGCCTATAGGTGTCCACACACAGCTCGAGACGGAGAGAAGATGACGAACATCGTTATCCGAGTCTAGGAGGATTATCTGACATCGATAAGTGCATGAACAGGAATTGCAAACCAACTGTGTCTCGTGCGCTCACCGGCCACCTCCAATTGGCCGTCACACCTGTCGGTCAGCCCGCGCGCGTCAGTCAGCTCGCGCACGTCAATCGTCAGTCAACGCGTGCTCACCAGTCAGCTCGTATGCATCGGTCAGATCCAAAGTGCCC